AAATCATACCGTGGCGGATGAAGGCAAGACGTAAAGGCACCGGCCAATGAAGGATTGAAATCATACCCCGGCCAATGAAAGCCGATCCTTCATCGGCCAGTGCCTTCAGGTCTTGCCTTCACTGGTTGGGCTTTAATTCTTGCCTTTTAGGCCAGATCCCAATGGGACCTGAAAATCCAGCCTGCTACATCCTCGTCCTAGGTCCTGGACATCAAGTTTCATAATAATGACGAAACGCAGGAAATGGTACATTAATGATAAATATAGAGGCCTGCAATGGCTCGGTCGGTAGGACGACAGACTCGCACCCGGTAGGCCCGGGTTCGATTCCCAGTCACTACTGATTGATACAAGCACCACTGAAAAAAGTATCATGTGCTTTGTTCTCAAACACATTGCAAGCCTCCGTCGCTGATTAGCACTGATGGAGCATAAATAGAGCTACGTTAAAGAAAAAAAAAATGATAAATATCGTTTCTTCTATTTTAAATTGACTACTTCGTTTGAAACGGAACATTTTACGCACTTTCAGAATCCAAAATTGAGAAAGGATACTGTTTAAAAAAAAAATTTGACCTTAAAATGACCTTAATGGACTATGTCACATCCAAGGTCACTATCAGACTTCCCCCTCGATATCCTACAACTTTGGTCTCTACCATTTTTTCGATCGGGGCCGTCCTTGACGAGTTGTTTGCGGTGCCCATTTAAATTGGGTCACCCTGTATATTATCTTTAATAAAGTATATACAATAATGACTTGATTCCAATTACATATCTTTCGCTAGTTTTTTAGTGACCGCAAATTTTTAAACTAAATGAATTTGGAAAAAATACAAAAATTATTTTACAGAATATTTCATTATCTCATTATATGGATCCAATGGTATTTCCTATTATGTTTCCTTCTGGTGATTTGAGCTGGAGCATTGAATATTCAAAACTAAATATTAAAAAAAAAGAAATACAATTAACTTTTTTTTAATTTCTATGCTTATCGCTTAGCTTATTGACGTGAAAGTAATTTTAGTTCTTTATTATATGGTGGAAGATTAACAAAACAATTTTTATTATATGCAACTGTGATGATACGAGGGTGGATATCAACGCATGAATTGTATGAGTTATCAAATCCTAGCTATTTCAATAGTCTTTATTGGTACGTTTCTTCAAAACTTTTTCAATAAGATATACATTGGGATACATAGCTTTCAGCAATTCTTGTTCATAGAAATCTCCAACAATCGAATTTTCTTGATAATCTAGTAAATAATATATTGTAGGTTTTGTTCTTGAAATACGTTCAATAATAAAAATTGGGGATATATTCTTTTTTAAAATTACTTTTCATATCAGGCTCGTACAACAATCGAATATACGAGGGTAGGTCAATAAGTCCTTAGAAAAAGATAGAAAAACAATTTTTTATGGTAGATTTTTTATTTTTCAACATAATCTCTTTTCAGCTCGATACACTTTTCCAGGCATTCTTCAAGTTTTTTTAAGCCATCAGAAAAAAATAATTTTGGAAGTTCCTCAAAATAGCTATTTGTTTGTGTTATGACGTCCTCGTATGAGATAAATCGTTGTCCGGCAAGCCACTTTTTTAGGTTTGGAAATAAAAAAAGTTACTAGGGGCCAAATCTGGTAAATATGGTGGATGGTCTACTAATTTGAACTTCAATTCCTTAATTTTAGACATTGAAACTAAGCATGTGAAACAAAATTTTTCTTCTTTCAAACGAACACGTTTTTCCTTTATTTTCTCGCTTAACCAATCCAATAACGATGCATAATACTCTCTGGCGATTGTTTGTTCATTTTCTAAATAGTCGACGAAGATAATTCCACGTGCTTCTCAAAAAACAGTGGCCATAACCTTGCCGGTCGATTTCATGGTCTTCGTCTTCTTTGGAGCTGGTTGACCTTTCACAATCCACTGATTTGACTGTTCCTTCATCTAAAAAATGTAGTGGTGTATCCACGTTTCGTCTACAGTTATGAATCGACACAGAAAGTCGTTCGGATTCCGGTGGATGCGCGCCAAGAAGATCTCAGCGGTCACCACTCGACTGCATCTGTTCTCGACTGAGAGCCAACGCGGCACCCATCTTGCCGAAATTTTTCTCATGTCCAATTTTTCGTGTAAAATTGAAATGACTGTACCTTTTGAAAAAAAAAACCAACCCCTGTGGCCTTAACTATCTTGCGCAATTTTATTCTTTGGTCACTTAACACCATGTCATAGATTTTATCGATCATTTCCGGAGTGCTCACGACTATAGGACGACTTGAACAATGTTCATCTGCAGTCGATGTACGGCCACGTTTATATTTATTTACCCAATTGTAAACAGTTGCAAACACAGGGGCAGATATACCATGAACTGCATCTTACTTAGCTTAGATTTATTTCGGTGTAAGACCTTTTAAATAGAAATGTTTTATGACCGTTAGGAATTCACTTTTTTCCATTGTTAACAAGAAATGAAAATTGTTTACTTTGATCGACGATAAGAATGGAACTACTCAGTGGATCTGGTTAAAACTTCGGCAGCACTCTATTTAATAGTGACGCTTGCTGGTGCAACATGAGTTGGGATGTTTTGAGTGCCATCTCTTGAATTTTCTAAGGACTTATTGACCTATTCTCGTACATTGTAATTGAGAATTGATCAAATTTCTATTAGAATTGAAAGGGAAAAAATGTTAGAAGCTCTTTTCTGTCTAAATCTTTCCATTCCTTCATATTTACACGCTTGGATTGAGGGTTTTGATGATAATAACAATTGGTTTCCTCACGAATAAGGTCAAAAAAAAATTGTCGAAAAATAATTGGAAATAATGAATAGGATCATTTCCACCTAGTTCAATATCTTCTTTCATACGAGAACGTGAAGCGCATAGTTTCATAGAGGGAAAAAAAGAATTGTTCCGAAATATGTCTAGATCTAGACCGTCATCAATATCATCAGGATCTATTTCGATAATCTCCTCATCAGAATCTACTTCACATTCTAATTCAGAATCTCAGAAGCTATTAAGCGAGCTGGAGACAATTACGGATTTATTCCTATTATGAAAAATAATCGAAAATTTATAATGTGCAAAAGGACATCATATACTTCTGAATATGAAATGAAAGAAGTTTAAAAGATGAAAATAACTGCCAATGACAAGTAATTCAGAAAATATTCGTGTCTTTTATAATTTACTTTAAGGTGCAGTGACCGTAATAATTAAAAAGTTTTAAATGCATAAATTAAAAGAAAACTTCTGATGCGGCCATTTTTTAAGGGTGTTTGTCTTAAGCTCAATTGCACACAGAGAAAAAGTTCTTTACCATAATAGAAAGGCAAGTGGATACTAATGGGTATTACTTTTTGGCGACACCGGTGCATAATCTTTATGCCGCCCGATCCAATATTCCGCACACGCATGCTATAGATGCATTTGCTTGATCGTTTATTTCGGGCAGCTTTGTGTCTAGCCTTATATTACGAATATTATTTTTCGATGTAAAAAAGACAAGGAATACGATGGTGTCATGATTTTTTTAGATTAAACAAGTAGCATGTTGATAAAACGTCGAACATCAAACGCACGACCTTGCCCTCTCACAAATTATTTTTCATAATGATGAATCCCCATGAATTTATAACTCACGAAGTTCTTGAATACGCCTGTAGTGATATACGTGTTGCCCATCCTCCTCCATCACTCGTTGAGCCATATTGTACGTGCACCTCACGTTGAGATCTGCCGAAACTTGACGAGCAGCCACTCGCAAAGTAATCGTTGGATCATCTTCGAAGACATTAACGATCGGATTGTACAGCTGGTCGCCTGCCTGGCCGATTGCCTGGGCGACCGCCGTTCGAATTTCTCACTAATACAGAGCTAGTCTCCCTTGACCTTCTAATGGTGGTCTCGAAGGTTTAGATGGTCGACTCTTCTCCCATTATGTGCCTCCTACAGCAGTATTTTGAGCTCTTCCTCGTCCAGACCTAGCCTCACCAAAAAAATCACCAAATCGCTGTATTCGTCAGCTGTAAACTCCGGACGTCTAACCATTCTTTTACACAAGTCTCGTATGCACTAACCGTCACGCAAACCTCAATCGATCGTTAAAAACAAATGAAAAAAGAAACAAATGCTATTATTTTGATGTAAACATATTCGAATATTTTCTATAGCAATTCATATTCAAATTTGGAAAATTTCCCAAATCAAAATCGTAATAAAAATGAAATATTACAACATTATCAGACCTACCTTAAAATAGATAGATGCTAATATTCAATTAAATTTATAATACGTAATCAAAATTCAGCTTACATCACTGAATGAATCTTGTCTCCCACACTCCGATCTTACGTAAATACACATAAATACAAAAAAGTCACTTTTTTGTGTTAATATTACAATGCATGAAAATTATTTAAAGTATATTTTTTCAAAAAGTTCAAAAAAGAAGTATCGATTATCAGTTTTTCAAAGTTGAAAAAACAAGGGTTGAAAAATATTAATGAAAAATATTGACTTTTTACATTTATCATTGTGTTAAATTTCAAGACTCAAGAAAAAAAAGTAAAATCTTAAAAATTACAAAAGTAAATTTAATTACTTAGTTTAGTTAGTAAAGAAATTTTTTTACAATTAATTGCTATAATATTATCAAGTAACTTCATGATAAATTGATTTTTTCAAATACACACAATTATCTAGTGTTTATATTGAATTGATTTAAATGTTAGGAACCAGGAACTATTAAGAATTGTTAATTCCTAATAGTAATAATACCTCAGTATATAATAATAATAATAATAATAATAATAATAATAATAATAATAATAATAATAATCAATAGTTCAAAAATTTACCATTTTTAATAGTAATAGAATTATTAATTCGTACTAGTAATAATGTCTAAATCACAATTGAATCATGCATGCCATAGCTTGAAATCATATCAAAGAAATAATTTCTAAATGTTACAGGCTGGGGCACCACCGAATTTGCAGGTTCACTGTCGAATACATTACAGAAAGTTACACTCAGTGTCACCAATTATTCGACTTGTAAAAAGTTCTTTCCAGATATAGAATATAGGCAGATTTGTACTTTTGCAGAAAGAAAGGACTCTTGTCAGGTAATTCAGATCGTGATAGTCTCTAATAATTTATGACTGTTGAAATGACTATGAATATTAATATATACATTTTTTTATCAGTTTGATAGTGGTGGACCTGTTTTATGGCAAAATCCAACATCAAGACGTCTAGTCTTAGTTGGCGTTATCAGTTATGGTAGTTTTTGTGCTAGTCAAAAACCTTCTGTTAATACAAGAGTTGGATATTTTATAGATTGGATTGTGAAAGTAACTCCAAGTAAAATATATTATTACTTATTGACATCATTTTTTTTATTAAAAGTTAAGTCAACAGTTTTAAATTTTCTAGGTACTCAATATTGTCGAGCTGAATAAATCTAGTAATACATCGTAAATTATATTTGCCTTTGTTCATCAGGATACAAGAAAAAATTTGAATAATACACTCATGACACGCCGTGCTATAATCCATATTTCTCTAATTACGTTCGATTCGTTCGTCTGGAAATACACTAATACTTAATCTTGATTTATACACGCTGTACCATAAATATCGATCTATACTACAGATATAAAGTAATTTCGTCCATACTTCGCTTGAACGAATATATCCACGCAACTGTGAAATTAGTTTATCGTACAATCCCATTTACTATTGAATAAATATATCTGTATAACTCTGTTGTTGCTTTGTTTATTCTTCTAATCATAACACGTGATTATCGTACATTTTTCTCTCTCTCATACACATACACATGTTATAAAACATTTAAAAATTTGCAGAGGATTTCCTGTTTCAAAGTATGAGCGTGTTATACTCCTGTCATTGCATTCAGTGAGAAAATTTTTTTCTCTCGCAAGTTTCAAAAGTGCTCGCATCGCAATAGTAACACGACGTCGATGCTAGTGTCTGTTTTTCCAAAAAACGATACGATGACTGGGTTACGAGACAAAGACTACGGTATCGTCTGTACTCAAGGCATAGATCGGCTTTTGCGCACCTATTCAACTAGAAGTCGATTTCATCTGTCACAAACAATAAGCAAAGCGTGCGATCAATTGTAAATTCAGAACGCCGGAAAAATTGGCGCTTACAAAAAGATAATTTTATTTTTTCTGCATTACGCAGAAAGCGAAATTCAAGTGCTATAGAATTTTTCAAAAAACTCAATACCATTGAATGCGCCTAATTTTTCATGCATGCGAAAGGAAAACAAAATATCAAAAACAAAATTTCGACTCTTGCTTAAAATTAAATTTAACCAAGAATATATTTTTAAGCTTGTTACGTGACGCTTCATTGTATTATTTTTTTTATTTTGTCAAATAATATTTCGGACCCGAGACTTCCGTTCGGACATAGTATAATCAGCAGTATTCGTGTGCGCGACTCGGTGGGAACGTGCGGCAGAGGCTGATTCACGCTGCGCCAGCATGCTGCGACGGCATGCTTCGGTCAGCGTGCTTAGCTAGGTAAGACGATCCGATACGAGAAGCGTAAACGTTTAAAGTATATGTGCGAGAGAGAGACGAAAAGCGAGGGACAAAAGATATATAACGAACCGGCGTAAACAACGAACTATCCTTAGTCAGTCAGAAGTCAGCGCTCAACTAAGAAGCCTGCAAGAGTTTGAGAATATTACAGTAAAGTTATATCGAAATACCGAGTATCGTTATTTCTAACGATTTTTCTTGCGTGAACAACAGTCATACCAGGACTCACTTTATTTGCTATTGGAATACTATTGGAATATTATTGGATAAAGAAAATATATTGGACCAGTTTATTGAACGAGTTCGAAACCAGTGATTACCTATATCACAAATCAAACAATATTTTGGACCTAGACGACAGAGTGAGTACTTTTGGGCTCTATTTTCGATAAGCTGAAATCTCTTCCTTATTGTTTTTCTTTATTATCTCTCCCCCTCTGCGCTCTAATATTACTAAGCATAATCAAGGTTCCCCTTTCGGTGAATCCACGTGATTGCGTACCGGGACCAAGTGTGTAAACACCGCTGACCGCGTAAACTAAAATATTTATTTTAATAAATCGCGAACCACATAGTAGCGCGATATTATTATTAGAAGTGTTATCCGACGTATTAAAATATATATATATAAACTTATCTAACATACCGGCGTAAGTTCATTTAAGTCAATCGGCGAAGCCCCTCTCCCTTTTTCCCGCCTGATTACTGTCGCCTGGCTCTCGCAAGGACGAACTTCGGATATTATCGGTGAAGACGCGATCCATTCGGTGACACGGTCGGGGTACCGTACTGAAGGTCTAGTCCACCCGAGTTAGGACCACTCGGAGCTAAAAACGGTCTAACACGCGCCAGTTTTGAAGAGACATCAAAACTGGCACGTAACAAAGCTCAAGATTACACCTTTAATCCTAACAAGAACTTTTTAATTTGTTTAAACAGATGCATTCAAGGTCAAGCGGGATCAGCGAAAGAGCAACGAAAAAAGCCTCTCTTTCTTGATCTCTGTTTCTTTCTTTATCCAACTTCGCCTTCCCTCTACCTTTCATATTTTATACTTCTGCACTCGTGCTCCTTTAAACCAACTTATGGTACTCTTTCTTCTGCTCTTCTCACACTGTTGCCGGCTATATATGTTCTCTCACGGTTAATCTGTCATTGATCAAGGGAGGAACTATGAATTCAATGGTTGGCGATACTAGGTCACTATATGAATGTGCTGTCTTTATAATAAGGAATCAGTGACAAGAGCGAAAAAACAATTATTTACATGCCTCAGGGCAATTTTTCGACGACAACGTGAATCCGAACATTGGATAACAACTTTTGCCACTTTCAACCCCACACGTATCTTTGTCTTCTGGTAAAACGAAATTCTGCGCTTAATTACCTTGAGTGCAATGCGCAATTTTTATCATCAGGCACCTTACCTTTCGCGGAGTGTCGCATAATCATCGCTCAATTGGATTGACGGAAACATACGTCTTTCCAATGTTTATATTTTGCTTGTAATCTAATTTAACTCTAAGTGAAAATCTTTTACGAATTGCTTCATTAAACCTAGTTTAATGTGAAGTGGTGATAATAAAATGATTTTTCTATCTGCAAAATTTTCATAAGCTACGTTATGTTACTCAACTTTCCATTCCAATCTTTCAGGCCAGTTATTCCTTACTCAATGATCATTTCTTGCACAGCTATCCCAAAGGCAAAGAAAACACAAGTATTTTGTGTTTCCCAATTGTAAACTCAGTATCAAATTCATTATCTTCAAATCACCACAAATAAACCAATTATGAATACTGTAGTTTAATTTCATGAGTAGTAATCGGAAACTATCATAATATCATAAGACTCTGTAAGTAAAGTTGAATAACCTACAGAAAGAGCGACGTATTAATTCCCGTTATGTAACAAAAATGCTTTAGATCTTTCTGTAGAAGACTATATAAAAATATGCGAGTTCTTTGACTTATAAAAATCTATTTTGTATAATCTAATAAACCCTACGATGTTATTACAATAAACAACCCGATTTTATATCGAAAATTACTCGATCAATTCTTCTTTCCTATCTCTATATACTAAAGGAATTTAACTCTTCCTATCTCTATATATAAAGGAATTTAACTTTTTTTTTACGCTTCGTTTTAAAATGTCTAGGGACGTAGTAAATCACAAAAAAACTAAAACTAAGCGTAAAAAAAAAATTAAATTTCTTTATTTTTTTAATGCGCTAAAAAACCGAAAAAAAATTTTTTCTCTATTTCTTTATTTTGACTTTATTTTCGTATTCTTGGGCACAAAATGAAACTTTTTTCTCCTTGACATTTTTTTCCAAAACGTACGCAAGTCGAAGTAATTAAGGATTGAAAAAAAAGGTTATTTTTTTACAAAACACGCCGTAACTCGGTTAAAAAACATCGGATAGAACCCCGCGGGGGCTAATTTTAAAGGGAAAGACATTACCCTCCGAACCCCTCCGGTCGATTTGCCCTCCACCGCCTGGTTCTAAATTGGCATTGATTTAAGTCGAGGTTAAAAAAATTGAAATTTTTTTAATCAGTTTTTTTGCTGTAAAAAACACATATTTTCATTTTTAAGTCTCTACACGTCTTCAATGGAAGCTTTTGCAATTACCTTTAAAATGCCGTGCGGTTTTTTTGATACGATGATTTCCGACCGAGATACAAAACTTTCAAGTTTGCCTAATTTTGAGATAAGCATGGCAAAAGTGATTGACGGGCAGTGCATTTCCATTCCTTTTTCATTCCATTGTTACGTCCTGATACGTAAATTCTATTTATTTGGAGATCAGCGGCAATGAAGCAAGCTCAAAGTAGCAAAATAAGCACTAAAATGTATTACACCTTTACGAAACACAAAATTGCCAAACTCAGCAGAAACAACAGAACTCAGCAGAATTCCAATCCAGAATTTGTAACACTGACATATTAACTTGTTGATTACTTGACATATCAAATGTAGGCTAATTAGTCAATATTCAATATATAAAAGACCGTGCCAATTTTTTTCGGCAGTTGGTTCGCGACGCGCGACAATTCCAATGTATTAGTTCAATTACCACTCACGGAGTGAATTTTATTTATTAAATAAAAGTGAAATCTATTTATTAAATAGAGTGAAAATTTTACTAGTGTTCTTAAGTATTGTGTTTGGAATTCATTGCTACTACTTCCATTAGAATTAATAGAAAGACATCCAACAATGAGGATAAGAATCAGAAATAAGATTCCTCTAATAGAGAACGATCCAGATTATCCAGCAATAAAGTAAGAATTGGAAAATAATAATTCTTAATAGTCAACAACCCAAGTAAGTCCTGCCATTATCTGTATATCTCGACCATACTATCTTAAATTGCGATTCATTGATTTAAATCAATACATGTCACGGCTATGGAGTCGCGACATAACAAATTGGTTCCGGTATAATAAGGGTGTTTGATTTGCATATATAATACTTATGCAAGAATAAATTTTTAATGAACAATAAGGATTTACCTAGTTTTAATAACGCGAAAAGACTTACACGACTTCAAGTAAAAACTAAACCAGAATTAAACACTAGCATAATTGAACCAAATACATCTATTATAAACCATTTTAAAAATTCAAATAAACTTTCGCGTTTTCCCCCTAGAACAAGCAGTGGAAACAATAAAATTAAAATTTTAGACGATATAGAAAAGATTAATAAACAAACAACACAAGATGAAAAATTAATCAGATACTAATATCCCAGAAGAAAAATTAAAATAATACTTTCCGAATTCACTGTTAGATTTAGACGTTACTTTCGACCAAAATTACGATTTTTCACTTAACAATAACGAATACACAGACATCGGCGGTATTTTGAACGAACAAAACATTTGTACGAATCGAAAAATTTAATAAACAAAAACGAAGTTTCTGAACAATTAATACTTTATAATTCAGATTTTCAATTAAATAAAGTTAAAAGAATCGAAAATAATAACACGAAAATAAACGTCAACAAAATGTCACAACCGCTGAGATTACCACTTAAATATGTCACAGGTTTAGTCCCACAGTTCGACAGAAAAAATATCACACTTAATGAATATATTGATAAATTAAAAACTGCAAAGTCTCAGAAATAATTTCTGAGATAAATGAA